GAGGCGCTGAGTGGCTGAGCGGCTCCAGGGGGCGGGCGAGGCGCTGAGTGGCTGAGAGGTTCCAGGGGGCGGGCCGGGGCGAGGCGCTGAGTGGCTGAGCGGTTCCAGGGGGCGGGGCGAGGCGCGGAGTGCGGGGCGGTTCCAGGGGGCGGGGCGAGGCGCGGAGTGCGGGGCGGTTCCAGGGGGCGGGGCGTTGGGCGGCGCTAAGTGGCTGTTGCAGGGAGCTGAGAGACGCCGGGCGGAGGCCAGAGAACACGCGGAGTCAGGTTCGTTTCTCCCGTGTCCGATCCCCGCGATCCAGGCCCGGCCCCGCACGTGCCGCCCGCCCGGAGCCCGCGGGGCGCTCGGGTAAGAGGCGCCGCCGGTGCGCGGCCGCCCGGGGAGCCCGAAGGACCGAGCGGGAGAAGGGGGAGGGTTTCCCCCGACGTTATGGGGTTGGGGGCGGAGCCAACCTGACGGCTTCGATCGTGACCCGCGCGCGCCCCTAGCGGCAAACCAGGGACATGTTGCACATGCGCAGTTAGGCGCCGGGGCGTGCGCGCTCTATGCAAATAAGCCACCTGCTCCCTGCCGCACGTGTGCTCTGTTGGGAAACACCCCGGGCGGGGCATCGCGGTTTCCTCCGGCTAAGCCCGCCCACTTCCCGGTTTGCCAATACGGCCCCCTGCGGTTCTCTGCGCGTACCTGTTCCCGGGGGGTTCCGTCCCCCCTCCCGCCCCTGGGTGCCTGTTCCGGGGGAGGTCCACTCCAGAGGTAGCATGTTTATAGAAATTTTGGTGGTGCCCAGAACCTGCTCCCCCCCAAACTCTGCCCCCCACCTGCCCAAGGCTCTGGGAGGGAGTTTGGGTGCAGGAGGAGGTCTGGGGTGCAGGGCTGGGGCAGGAGATTGGGGTGCAGGATGCAGGTTCTGGGTGGGAGTTTGGGGATGGGAGGAGATGCAGAGGTGAGGGCTGTGGCTGCAGATGAGGGGTTTGGAGTGTGGGAGGGGCTCAGGGCAAGAGTAGGGGTGTGGGGGTGAGAGCTCTGGCTGGGATTGGGGATAAGGTGTTTGGGGTGCTGGAGGGGCTCAGGGCTTGAGCAGAGGGTTGAGGGTGCAGTGGGGGGTGAAAGCTCTGACTGGGGGTGTGGGCTCTGGGGTGGGGCAGGGCTGGGGATGAGTTTGGGGTGCAGGCAGGCTGCTCCAGGACAGAGGCCAGCGAGGAGCAGCAGCAGCAAGCTCTGGGGGAGGAGCCCTCCTTTCCTGTCCCCCCCCACAGCAGCACACTCACCCCCACCACTGTCACTGCATGTGCTCCTAGGGCCTCTCTCAGGTCCAGGAATCTCCCTTGCCTCCCCCGTGGTGGGTGCCGGGGGCGCTGCGTATGCCTCCTCCCCTGCTGTTGCCCCTGACTGTAGCCTCATTGGGGGTGAGGGATGGCGCTGCCTCCTTGCCCAGCATGGGGCAGGAGTAGTGACTGCGGGCAGAGGGGGGCCCCGTGCTGCTAGAGGGTCCTGCCGAAAACGGGAAGGGTCTGAGGTGGAAGGGTAGGCTCAGAGTCGTTCTGTCCTGGTAGTCAAGATGGGGGGGCCCTAGCACTTGCTGCAGGGAGGCAGCATGGAGCTGCATGGAAGAGAGAGTGACTCTCTGCTCTGGGCCCTGGAAAGGCGAGTGGGGGCAGCAAGGTGGGCCGGGGGGGGGACACCCAGCCCCAAATATTGGTGGAGTTGGGCTCTGAATATTGCTGGAGCCCGGGCACCACATGGGAATATAACTCGCTGCCTATGCTCCGCTCCTCCCCCCACACTGGGTGCCTGTCACGGACAGGTGGGGCGCAGTGGGCAGGGCCCGTAGCAGATCAGCAAAAACAACAAGGAGTCCAGTGGTACCTTAAAGACTAACAGATTTATTTGGGCATAAGCTTTTGTGGGTAAAAAACCTCAGGTGTCGGAAGCCCTGGGGGGCAGAGGGGCCGATGGGGGTTTAATCATCATGGCACCGCCTCGGGCGGGGGGGGGGGGGTTGGACTGCTGGGAAGGGAATGAGAAACCACAAATCCCTCCCCCCTCTCCGAACCTGACCTGTCCTCCGCTTCCAGATCTGCTGGAGAGTCCGGAGCAGGGAGGGGGCAGGGCCAGGACCCACCTGCCCCGGCTTGGCTTCGCTGCTGCTGAATCAGACCAAGTTAGACTGAGAGAAGCCGACCCCAGCACAGCGCCTGCAGCAGCTTCTGTAGCCTGAGTGTCACTGAGAGAGACAATGGGGCAAGGAGTAACATACAGGAAGATCAAAGGAGATCCAGGTAATGGGGCGTCACTGCCTGGGAACAGGCAACAGAGACACTGAGGCTGCCCCACATGGGGCCAGGCTCTCAGTGGCAGCAGCCAGTGCCCAGCAACTCGCGTCTGTGGGCAGCAGGGACTGGATGTCCCCCCGGGGCTCTCAGGGCACCGATCCCTGGCTCACAGCTGTTGTCTGGTGCACACAGCGGTGGCCGTGGGGCTGGGCAGGGGCCTTCTGGGCTGGGTGTGTCAGACCCCCGGTGACAGCACTGGCCCATCTCTGCCTGGTTCGTTCTCCCCCCTTCTGCTGTGTATGGCCAGTGTGAGACCCCAGTGTGTGGGGACAGGTGCACTCGGCAGTGTGGGCCCAGCCAGCGCTCGGCAGGGGGCAGGGTGGGGATGGGGGACAGCTTGAGGTCCTGCCACCAGAACATGTGGGTCCTTATCTCTGTAGCCCTGAGCTCACCAGGCCCCGTGACCGCCTGGCTGGGGGAGTCCGGGGGGGCACTGGGCTGAGGGGAAGGAGGGACTGTTCTGCCAGCCCCAGCCTGCCTGAGTCTCCGGGCACCTCTCCCAGAGCATCTGATGGGAGGAGCAATCGACAGAACGGGGCATGTTCTAGGGCAGCTCCAGCCCTGGTGCTGTCAGTGAGACATGTCCTTGCGGCCCTGCCTGATGGGTCTTTGTGTTTCAGAACCTCATTGTAACTGCAAGAAATGTAACTACTACAAGGAATGTAGAATTGTGCTCGCAGTCGCCCTCGCAGTTGTGTCCTTATGTCTCATCGCTGTTATTGTCCTGGCAGGTGAGTTCTCAACCCTCCCTTCCCCCTCTCTGAACATCCCATTCCCTCTGGAGCCACCACAGTCAGTATCTCCTCCCAGCCTGTCTGGCTTCTGCCCCTGGGACAGAGGATTCCTGGGGGATGTTCCTCCACGACCCTCCTCCTCCTCCCTCCCAGATCCCTGCACCTGGACACACTCTGTGTCGGGACTGAAATTAATTCCCTCAGCAAATCTCTGAGCACTTTGGGTCCATGTCACTGTTGCCGGGCCCCAGGCACAGTCACTGGTACCCCCGTGCAGAGTGGGGGTGATTGACAGGAGAAGATGCAGGGCAGCAATGAGCTGGGCCCTCTGCCTGCAGCGTGTCACCCTGAGGTACCAGCCTGGCCTGCCTGCAGCCCCGGGTCGTGCCCAGGGCTGGGCTGGCAGACGCTGGCATTTCACTGACATGAGCTGTAGAACACAGCACAGACACCTCCATCAAGGGAGCTGGTTTGTCTGGCTGGTTTGTGTTTTTGGCTTGGTTACAGTTTACAGGATGGTCTATTGGGGATTGTGTGTTTGGGGGCTGTGTGGGACTGGGGGCCAGAGGCCTGCTAGATGTGCGTGCACTAGCAAGGCTCTAGCCTCCTGTTCTTTCATCTTTGTGATCACCCGGTGTGTTAACACGGGGCAGGGCTGACGTAGGAGAGAAGGGTTTAAAAGCCAGGCGCTGAGGCTGTGTCTACACAGCACTAAAAGCCCAGTGGTGCGGCCGTGGCTGGCCCAGCTCTGCTGACTCAGGCTCGTGGGGCTCAGGCTGCAGGGGTAAAAATTGCTGTGTCGATGTTTGGGCTCAGGCTCCGTTGTCACCGGGTCCCAGGGCTCGGGCTCCAGCCCAGGCCTGAGCATCTACACACGGTTTTCAGCCCCATGAGCCTGAGTCAGGTCACCTGGGCCAGCTGCGGGTTTTTTCTTGCTGTGCAGACATACCCCTGGCGACCACAGAAAGCTGGCGAACAGGGGAGCTTGAGAAGGAATAAAATGAGCATGGATCGGCAGGGCCCCATAGCCAATGCCAACACTGCTCCTGGCTCCTCCACCTGTAACTTTGTCCTGACACAGAATCTGACCATGGATGCCTCTACCCAGGCCCTGGTGTGGATTTGCGGAGACTGTGGCCTGTGTTTCCCCATCACAGAAAGCCAGGCTGGGGGGACCATCCTGTGTGATAGGTGCTTACTGGTAGAATCTCTCAGGAAGCAGGTGGGAGAGCTACAGGAGGAGGTGGCTAGGCTGAGAAGCCTCCGTGCACATGAGGAATTCATTGAAAAGATGCATATGGAGACCTCCAAGGTGGAGGAGCAACCCAGCCGGAGAGGACTGCACTAGCTGGCTGCTGGCTACTGCTGGCAGCAGGCAGTGCTCCACCCCTGCTCCAACCCACCATCATTAGAGATGGAAAACCAGTGTGCTGCCCTGGCAACGAGGGGTGAGGAGTCTTCCCCATAGGTGTAGGAGGAGAAGCCATGTACCCCCAGGGCTGGGGGGATTACGGCCATCACTCCCAAGAGGAAATGAAGGGTGGTGGTCAGTTACCTAAGGGGGGTGGAGACATCCATCTGCAGGCCTGGCCTGGCATCCCGGGAGCTGTGCTGCCTGTCAGGGGCCTGTATCTGAGACATTGCATAAGGGTTGCCAAGAATCATTTGGCCCTCTGAGTACTGTCCCATGCTGCTCATCCAAGTGGGCACCAGTGATACTGCGAGGTCTGACCCTGAACAGATCAGAAGTGACGACAGGGCTCTGGGAGTGAGGGTGAAGGAGTTGGGGGGTGCAGGTGATGTTCTCTTCGATCCTTCCAGTCAAGGGTGGGGGCCGAGGCAGAGACAGACATGTGCTGGGGGTTAATGCATGGCTGAGTCGATGGTGTCACCAGGAGGACTTTGGCTTCCTCAACCATGGGATGCTGTTCCAAGGAAAAGGACTGCAGAGAGGGATGAGGTCCCCCTGTTTTGGACTTGGGTGAAGTGTTGGAATTGAGGGTGGGAGGGAGGCAGGGATGAAGTAGAGATGAGGGAAATGTATAAACAGGGGAATAAGGACAACCCAGGGAATTCTAGACCAATGGATTTAACTTCAGTCCCCAGACAGACAATGGAGCAAATAATCAAACAATTTGTAAGCACTCGGAAGATAATAAGGTGTTAAGTAATAGTCCACATGGATTTGTCAAGAGATCATATCAAACCAACCTAATATCCTACTTCGACAGGGTAACAAGCCTTGTGGATAGGAGGGAAGCGGAAGGTCTTGACTTTAGTAAGACTTTTGATACTGTCTTACATGACCTTCCCATAAACAAACTAGGGAAATCCAGCCTAAACTAACCTACTATAAGGTGGGTGCACAACTAGTTGGAAAACCATACGCAGAGAGTAGGTATCAATGGGTCACAGTCAAGCTGGAAGGACATATGAAGTGGAGTTCTAGTCAATATCTTCAGCAATGATTTAGATCAGTGGTCTCCAAAGTGGGGTACGCGGCAGGAGGAGCGCTTTTTTATTTTTTTTTTGCTTCGGCGCGGCAGGGGGTGCGTGCTCAAAATTTTTTTACTGATAGGGGTGCGCAATCAAAAAAGTTTGGAGACCACTGGTTTAGATAATGGCATAGAAGCAGGGGTTCTCAAACTGGGGGTCAGGACTCCTCAGGGGGTTGCAAGGTTATTACATGGGGGGTCACGAGCTGTCAGCCTCCACCCCAAACCCTGCTTTGCCTCCAGCATTTATAATGCTGTTAAATATATAAACAAGTGTTTTAATTTATAAAGGGGGGGGGGGTCGCACTCAGAGACTTGGTATGTGAAAGGGACCACTAGTACAATAGTTTGAGAACCACAGGTATGGAGAGTACACTTAAAGTTTGTGGAAGATACCAAGTTGGTAGGGGTTGCAAGTGCTTTGGAGGACAGGACTAGGATTCAAAATGATTTGGAGAAACTGTTTGAAATAAGTATGACGAACTTCAATAAGAACAAACGCAAAGTCCTGCGCTTAGGAAGGAATAATCAATTGAACGAATACAAAATGGGAAATGACTGCCTAGAAAGAAGTACTGCAGAAGAGGATCTGGGGATCACCAAGTAAATATGAGTCAACAATGTAACACTGTTGCAAAAAAAGCAAACATCATTCTAGGCTATATTAGCAGGAGTGTTGTAAGCAAAGCAGGAGAAGTAATTCTTCCACTCTACTCCGCGCTGATTAGCCTCAACTGGAGTATTGTGTCCAGTTCTGAGCACAACACTGGAAAAGATGTGGCTAGATTCGAGAGAGTCCAGAGAAGAGCAACAAAAATTAGTAAAGGTCTATGAGCTATGAGGAAAGATTGGGGGAAAAAAATCGGGTTTGTTTAGTCTGGAGAAGAGAAGACTGAGGGGGGAACATAACAGTCTTCAGGTATGTGAAAGATTATTATAAAGAGGAGGGTTATAAATTGTTCTCCTTAACCACTGAGGACAGGACAAGAGGCTTTAACTGCAGCAAGGGAAATTTAAATTAGCTATTACTAAAAACTTGCTGTCGGTAAAGTGCAGTTAAGCACGGGAACAAATTACCTAGGGAGGTTGTGGAATCATCATTGTTGGAGGTTTTTAAGACCATGTTGCACAAAGACCTGTCAAGGATGGTCTGTGTTTACTTGGTCACGTCTCAGGTGACCTGCTGAGGTCCCTTCCAGTCCTACATTTCTATGATTCTGTGACTTATGCAGAGTTGACCGGTGACCTTGGCAGTGAAGGGTCCCTTAGTGCCATTCGCTCCCCCAGTCTGCACAGACAGCACGTGCTAGTTCAGAGGGCAGCTGTTCCTGGTGAATGTGAACCCTGCTGTACCAATAGTCTGGGGCAGTCGGTGCTGTAAGATTGTCGGGGATGGGATTTATCTGTTGCTCTGGGATCTGATCACTGGACCCCAGGAGAGTTCAGCAGCTGGGAGCAGGGGTTGAATCCAAGTTAGTCTGCATCCTTTGTGCCAATGTAATGGCATCAGTGCAGCTGAAGAGATGCAGATCGAGAGGGGCTTGCAGTGATGCAATTCACTGCAGTGACCAAAATGAGCCACCATCGTTCCACAGGGACTCATTCATCACCATGATTCCATCGGTGGAAATTGTCCTGCCATAGACAGCCCCTGAATCCCATTGACTCACACAGTGTAAGGTGAGGGGAGATCTGTGAGCTCTGGGGTTCTTCACCTCCAGGTGCAGGGAGGTTCCCAGAACAGGGAGGCTCCTTGATGTACCTCTTCCATTCTAGGAGGCTTTGGAAGGGACCCAGGAGGTCTGTCAGCCTCTCTCACAGGGTCTCTAGAGTCTTAATATCCAGTGCTCTGTACAGGGTATGAAACTTGCAATTATTAAACTCTCAGCTGCAGTCGCTCCTGAAATGAGTTGCACAAACGTATGCTGAGCATGTGTCAAAAGCTATTTTAGGGGCTTGTGTACAGGAATACTTAGTTCATGGCAAGCTGGGATGTGGGTCCTCAAGGAATCAGTTCTGATGCACTTAGAGGAGAGGAAAGTGATCAGGAACAGTCAGCATGGATTCATGAAGGGGAAGTCGTGCCTGACTAACCTAATTGCCTTCAATGAGGAGATAACTGGCTCTGTGGATGAGGGGAAAGCAGTGGATGTGTTATTTTTTGACTTTAGCAAAGCTTTTGATACGATCTCCCACAGTATTCTTGCCAGCAAGTTAAAGAAGTATGGGCTGGATGAATGGACTATAAGGTGGATAGAAAGCTGGCTAGATCGTCGGGCTCAACGGGTAGTGATGAACGGCTCCATGTCTAGTTGGCAGCTGGTATCAAGCGTAGTGCCCCAAGGGTCGGTCCTGGGGCAGGTTTTGTTCAATATCTTCATTAATGATCAGGAGCATGGCGTGGATTGCAGCCTGAGTAAGTTTGCAGATGACACTAAACCGGGAGGAGTGGTTGATACGCTGGAGGGTAGGGACAGGATACAGAGGGACCTAGACAAATTAGAGGATTGGGCCAAAAGAAATCTGAGTTTCAACAAGGACAAGTGCAGAGTTTGGCACTTAGGACGGAAGAATCCCATGCACTGCTACAGACTAGGGACTGATCGGCTAGACAGCAGTTCTGCAGAAAAGGACCTAGGGGTTACAGTGGACGAGAAGCTGGATATGAGTCAACAGTGTGCCCTTGTTGCCAAGAAGGCTAACGGTATTTTGGGCTGTATAAATAGGGGCATTGCCAGCAGATCGAGGGATGTGGTCATTCCCGTCTATTCGACATTGGTGAGGCCTCATCTGGAGTACTGTGTCCAGTTTTGGGCCCCACACTACAAGAAGGAGGGCAACAAAAATGATTAGGGGGCTGGAGCACGTGACTTATGAGGAGAGGCTGAGGGAACTGGGATTGTTTAGTCTGCAGAAGAGAAAAATGAGGGGGGGATTTGATAGCTGCTTTCAATTACCTGAAAGGGGGTTCCAAAGAGGATGGATCTAGACTGTTCTCAGTGGTAGCAGATGACCAAACAAGAAGCAATGGTCTCAAGACACAAACATTTAGATCGTGGTGACAAGTCCTAATCACTGCCTTCCCTACTCAGTTCCACAGTATGCGTGCGCATGGTAGTATGCACTACACCAGGGGTAGTCAATTATTTTTAGTCAAGGACCAAATTTCTTGGGCAAGGTATCGCCAACATCCAGACTGCAGAGAAAATAATAAAATATAACCATAGTAAAGTAAATAAAAAGCTCTCTGGCAATAAAAAAGCACCTGGCGGTCCAGATTTGACCCACGGTCCCCCTATTGACTGCCCCTGCGCTACACCGTTAAATCTCCAGGGTAATACATGCCTTGTGTGTGAGCTCAGCATGCTCTTTCTTTGATGCCAGTGGCCTGGTTTCCTGACTCTTCCAGACTTAGTGTCTGTTCCTCACTGAGCGCCAGCCACATGGGTGCAGCTACTGAGTTACTCTGGTGCAGAAAAGGTGATAGGCTCAAAAATCAGTGGAGGGGTCTGACTCAAAAACTTCCCATCCCAGAAAAGATTGTCTAAGGAAACAATCCCTTTGAGGCTGAGAGCAAGCAGGAAGGATTATTGTGGGGGAAACCACTAACTGATGCGGGGTTTAGGATGGTTTAGCAGTTCTTACCCATCGTGACCCCAATAAACCCACCTCTGGCTATCCATCCCCTGCACTGGATGTTAGTTATGGTGATCCTACTGCTGCTGTCTGATGGCACTGAAATATATATATATATATATTGTTATAACTGCCTCCATTTCCCCTCTAAACCAGTTCCGTTAGTTACTAGGCCAGTAACCTTGTCAAAAAAGGAAATGAGGATGGTTTGACATGATTTGTTCTTGGCAAATCCATGTGGGGTATTCCTCATTACTCTGTTATCCTCTAGGTGTTTACACATTGTTTAATAATTTGATCCAGTTGAAACATTCCTGCTCTGTTGACAGTGGTTGGGGAGGCAGACCCAGTCAGAGTGGCTGCCAGCCCTCAAAGTATGTTTCTAGTTCTATACGAGTGCCCTTCTCTTTTTAGTAGCATTATCAGGGCCCAGCAGGGCTGACGTCCTCCTCTCTGCTGGGTCCAGCACTTTCACATTTCAGTGTTTTATCTCCTGAAATGGGTATTCGCACTTTGATCTCAACATGCCTCTGCAGGAGAGCAAAGCAAAGAGCAGGAAGAGGGAATCAGCCAGCCCAGTGTAGCAGTCTGTGTCCAAGCTGATCATCACAAAATTGAGCTTTTCTGTATTCTCCTGCTGGTCCTTTGACAGCTCTGCAGATCCCTGAGTTTGGGTCTGGCTCTGAATTCTGCGTTTTATGCTCCTGCCTGGGAATCCTGTCTGTCTGCATCCTCACTGACCTCAGCCCAACACTCCACACCAACAAACCCGGGAGTGGTGGCCCCTCATAACTGGTTCAGTTTCTAACGACCTTCTGGCTCCCTCCCATCCTCTGAGCAGCTTCCAGAGGTTTAAGGAGTCTGAATTGTGGATCTGATGAGATTGTTCCTATTCTCTCTTCTCGGAGAGCAGCTATCTGTGTCACCAATCTCTTAACCCTGTGTTCTTTCATTTTCAGTGCTCCTAGACATGAGTTCTTCGGATGGTCGAGCCACCTCTGCTGTCCTCTCTCAGGGCCCCCCTTTAGTCCCATCTCAGGGCCTCCCTTTAGTCCCCTGCTGCCCGGAGCGGTGGGTCGGATACGGAGGGAAATGCTACTATTTCTCAACAGAAGAAAAGAACTGGGATTCTAGCCAGCGCTTCTGCTCTTCGTTCAATGCTTCCCTGGCAGTGATTGACACCCAGCAGGAAAAGGTGAGACAGGTGCAGGTTTTTTGTAACTGCAATAGCCTGGGCTTGGCATGACAGAGAGTTGGAATCTGGGCAGAGCCCCACCCCTGGAGTGTGAGTGGGACCTTGATGTTTCTCAGGATTAGAGGTGAGAATGAATGAATGAGATTTGGGAAGCTAAATCCTTGCCCTGGCTATCAGTGTGGCTCTGTGATCAGTACAGACCTTTTGAACCCTCAGCTTCTGATTGGAGACGGCAGCTTTATGGCTTCCCAGCCTCCCCTGGATAGGTTTTAGCAGCAAGACAAAATTCGTACAATAAGCCAATAGTCTAAAAGATTACATAATGGCTCCGCCCATAGCTCAGGTTAACATGTTGCTAATACACAGGTGTTCTCCCTCAGACTTTTCCGATTGCAATGTGTAGGCTGTATCCTGATTTTTGGATCCATAGAAATGAGGTAGCTCTTCCGGTTGGCCAACAGGTACGTTCCTGGGGGTTTAAAGCAAAAAGAATAGTGAACAGTACACAGCAATAGCAATTGTTTTAGGGTTACCACTGTGTTTCTGTGAACTAGAATGAGCATCTGTGAAAGGGAGGATGTCCTATCTCATGCTGACATGTTCGGCCTCTCCCTGAACTCTGGTTGGCTTTGGGGAGTGTGTCAAGTCAAGCATGTTATCTTCTTCCTTAAGGCTCCTCTCAGTGCTTTGTGTCCCTATAACTCTGTGACTCCTGTTAAGTCTCCCAATTACTGCTCCCCATCTGGAGTTATGCTGACTCCGCTTATCTAGTGGAAACAAAACAAGGCTGTCTCCTGTTTATCCCTTTTAGCCATGTATTGTTCACTGTTAGCTAGGCCTCATGCCTCAGACCACGCTGTGGAATTTGGGCCTATGTGAAAAGTTCTTAACAGAGACTGTGGTCAAGATCTTACATACGTATTTATGGATTTTTGGCCCTTCTGTAACTATACTGGTATAGCTCAAGCGCTGCAGCTCTTGTGTGGAGACAAGCCCTTAGCTATACAGCTGAGATCCCGGCTGTACAGAGCCCTGTGGGGCAGGACCGGGGGAACACGGCAGAGTCTGATACACACTGTCCTGTTGTTCAGGATTTCATGGTGCGCTATGCAGGCCTCGTTGAGCACTGGATCGGCCTCAGAAGAGACTCAGGCCAGCCCTGGAAGTGGGTGAACGGAACCATATTCAGCCAGCAGCTGTGAGTCCAGTTCTTCTCTTTGCTTTCCCAGTGAGAAATCACAAGTGACTGAAATGTTAGTTTGGGTCGATCCACAGCTTACCCCATTAGAGCTTTTAAACTTAAACCCGGTGTTAAAATAGGGCCTAACTCCTCTGTGCAGCACAGTCCAGGGCAAGCAGGAGCGGGTGTCTCTGGCCTTAATCTGTGCTGCCAATGCCCCTTCTCCAGCCTGCTGTCCTGGTAGGAGTTAAAACCCCTGGGGGTGGAGTCCCAGTGGAGGCACATTTGCAGTGAAACAGGCTGTAACGCCAGAGGCTCTTTGTGATCCCTGGTTGATCAGAGCAGCTACTGTATTTGTCTTGAGCATGGGCTGTGCACTGCCTACGTCCACAGGCACCCACTTTCCAAAGTGCTAGGGGGTGCTCGAACCGCGGCTCTGCCCCAGGCCCTGCCCCCACTCCACCCCTTCCCCCAAGTCCTCACCCTTGCCCCACCTCTTCCCACCCTGGCTCCACACCTGCCCCGCCCAGTTCTATCCCCTCCCCCTGAGCACGCCATGTCCTCACTCCTTCCTCCTCTCCCCCCCCACCCTCAGAGTCTCCTAGCACCATAAAACAGCTGATCATGGTGGGCGGGAGGTGCAGGAAGGGAGCAGGAGGCGCTGATCTGGAGGGCCCACTGGCTGATGGGAGATGCTGGGTCGGGGGAGCTGATAGGGGGACTGTTTTCCCCATGGGTGCTTCAGCCACGGAGCACCCATGGAGTCAGCATTTATGCCTACGTCTAACTCGGGCCCAGATCCTTTGAGGATCTGGCCTGGGTTACTTTTAATGTGAAGGTGCTAAAGAGACAGCTCACTGTTCTGTACACATCGGTTTCCATGGTCTGCAGCCTCAGGCAGAGGTTGTTACATTGGCTACACTCTGTTCACATTTGTAAAGTTTGCTTCAGTCATTAAGGGTTAGAAATTAATTTTTTTAAGATAGCTGAACATGGCCGTGCCATGGAAAAATTCTGGTTTGCTGAGCTGCCGAGAGCCGCCCCACTCTGATCCCCTATTTCTGCTTGCTGTCCCTAATGATTGCCTGAAACATTCCCTCCTGTTCTGATCCTTGGCTGCCAGGCAGGCGTTTGGGGTGATCCTGTTGCTGGTGCAGAAAGGGGAAACCCTGAGCCCCTGTGAGCACTGCAGCTCTGCTTCGCCGTCTGATTGTGGAACGCCACCTTGATGGGGACTGGTGCGGGTGGAGGGGGAAACGTTCAGCTCCTGACTATCTCCATGACTTACATTACAGGTTTGAAGTAAGCGCAGAAGGGAACTGCGCGTATCTGAGCGATGTCATTGTGAGTTCTTCAAGGTGCTATTTTCTGAGGAACTGGATCTGTAGCAAACCTGATGCATATACAAAGGGAAAGGAACATGCAATGGAGAGAGACTAGTAGGGATGTAAAAGTTTAACCGGTTAACGCATAAGCTTGATGTTTATCAGTAGGGCCCTACCAATTTCACAGCTGTGAAAAATGCTTCATGGACCCAAATGAGCCCTTCCCCATGAAATCCGATGTCTCCTTGTTCCTAGGAGCGCTTCAGCAAAGGGGGCTCCAAGCTCCGACTGGGTAGAAGAGGGACAGGACTTGTCCCACCCTTGCACACTGCTCTGGGGGTGGGAGGGAGGGACCAGACCAGACCCACCTCCGTGTGCCTCCCCCTGCTGCAGGACACTCTCTCTGATCTGAAGGCAGCACAGAAGTGAGGGTGGCAATCCCATGACCCCCCTACAACAGGTTTGCAACACCATTTCCCCTTCCCCTCCCCCCCACACGCAATCACCTTTTGGGTCAGGACCCCAAAGTTACAACACCTCAAATTTCAGATTTAAACAGTTGAAAACGTGAAATTTACCAGTTTTCAAATCCCCTGGCCATGAAATTGACCATAATGGACTATGAATTTGGTAGGGCCCTACTTATCAGTTTCTGTTAACGATTAAACTCTGCCTGGGGTCCTGGCTGCTGGCCCCAGCAGTGGGGATCCCGGGCATGGAGCCCCCCATAAAATGTGGGGGTGCTGTAACACCCCACGCACTCCTAGTTCCCTGGGTAAATGTTTAACTTTTGTAATTGGTTACACAGGTACTGTTTCTACACGTTATTTACACCCTAAGAACTAGTATATCACTGTGGAGAGCAGTGGGAATAGGACCTGTGTTTTCTGGCAATGAAAACAGTAATTTCAGATTTTCAAAGCTTTGTTTTGGAAATTTTATATATATAATATTAATACTAGGGCTGTCAATTAACTGCTGTTAATGCCTGCGATTAATGCACAGCACAATTAACATGTTAATTTTTTTAATGTGCATTAATTAATCGCAGACCCTCTGGGCGGGAGGGCAGCATGAGCTGCTCCAAAAAAATCTGTTTGATTAGACGCAGTAACACAAGCCGACACCAGAGGTTGGGAAGACAAGAGGCTACAGACAGTAATAGAGTTCTCATCCCCCTGTTTTTAAAATAAAAACAGGATGGCCAGGGGCTCCCCGGAGTGCCGCCCCCCCTTTTTTTTGCATGGCTTGCCCGAACTGCCCTCCCCATGTCTGCTGGGGCTGGGGCTGAGCCCTGTGCCGCCCGCAGCTGGGGCTGGTGTCGTGTCTGTCCCCCCACTGAGCTCCGCATTGCCAATGGTGGGGTCTCCCCATGCGGCCCAAGGCTGGGACTGACCCCCATCCTGAGCTCATGGGCAGAGCCCCAACCCTTGAGCTTCCTGGGGCTGGGGCTGACCCCCCTGCCTGAGCCCTGTGCCTTCCGCAACTGGCCCAATGCCACCCAGGGCTGGGACTGACTCCCATCCCGAGCTCAGGGGCTGATCTCTCTCTCCCT